TATCTATCCTCAGCCTGTTCATTATCTATCTATCTGAGTCACTTCTTATCTATCTATCTATCTATCTATCTATCCTCAGCCTGTTCATTATCTATCTGAGTCACTTCTTATCTATCTATCTATCTATCTATCCTCAGCCTGTTCATTATCTATCTGAGTCACTTCTTATTTATCTATCTATCTATCTATCTATCCTCAGTCTGTTCATTATCTGAGTCACTTCTTATCTATCTATCTATCTATCTATCCTCAGCCTGTTCATTATCTATCTGAGTCACTTCTTATCTATCTATCTATCTATCTATCTATCTATCTATCTATCTATCTATCTATCTATCTATCCTCAGGCTGTTCATTATCTATCTATCTGAGTTACTTCTTATCTATCTATCCTCAGCCTGTTCATTATCTATCTGAGTCACTTCTTATCTATCTATCTATCCTCAGCCTGTTCATTATCTATCTATCTGAGTCACTTATCTATCTATCTATCTATCCTCGGCCTGTTAATTATCTATCTATCTGAGTCACTTCTTATCTATCTATCTATCCTCGGCCTGTTCATTATCTCTCTATCTGAGTCACTTCTTATCTATCTATCTATCTTCGGCCTGTTCATTATCTATCTATCTGAGTCACTTCTTCTATCTATCTATCTATCTATCTATCCTCAGCCTGTTCATTATCTGAGTCACTTTTTATCTCTCTATCTATCTATCCTCATCCTGTTCATTATCTATCTATCTGAGTCACTTCTTATCTATCTATCTATCCTCAGCCTGTTCATTATCTATCTATCTGAGTCACTTCTTATCTATCTATCTATCTATCTATCTATCTATCCTCAGCCTGTTCATTATCTATCTATCTGAGTCACTTCTTATCTATCTATCTATCTATCTATCTATCTATCCTCAGCCTGTTCATTATCTATCTATCTGAGTCACTTCTTATCTATCTATCTATCTATCTATCTATCTATCCTCAGCCTGTTCATTATCTGAGTCACTTTTTATCTATCTATCTATCTATCCTCATCCTGTTCATTATCTATCTATCTGAGTCACTTCTTATCTATCTATCCTCAGCCTGTTCATTATCTATTTATCTGAGTCACTTCTTATCTATCTATCCTCAGCCTGTTCATTATTTATTTATCTGAGTCACTTCTTATCTATCTATCCTCAGCCTGTTCATTATCTATTTATCTGAGTCACTTCTTATCTATCTATCCTCAGCCTGTTCATTATCTATTTATCTGAGTCACTTCTTATCTATCTATCTATCTATCTATCTATCTATCTATCTATCCTCAGCCTTTTCATTATCTATCTATCTGAGTCACTTCTTATCTATCTATCTATCTATCTATCTATCTATCCTCAGCCTTTTCATTATCTATCTATCTGAGTTACTTCTTATCTATCTATCTATCTATCTATCTATCTATCTATCCTCAGCCTTTTCATTATCTATCTATCTGAGTCACTTCTTATCTATCTATCTATCTATCTATCTATCTATCTATCTATCCTCAGCCTGTTCATTATCTATCTGAGTCACTTCTTATCTATCTATCTATCTATCCTCAGCCTGTTCATTATCTATCTATCTGAGTCACTTCTTATCTATCTATCTATCTATCTATCCTCAGCCTGTTCATTATCTATCTATCTGAGTCACTTCTTATCTATCTATCTATCTATCTATCCTCAGCCTGTTCATTATCTATCTATCTGAGTCACTTCTTATCTATCTATCTATCTATCCTCAGCCTGTTCATTATCTATCTATCTGAGTCACTTCTTATCTATCTATCTATCTATCTATCCTCAGCCTGTTCATTATCTATCTATCTGAGTCACTTCTTATCTATCTATCTATCTATCCTCAGCCTGTTCATTATCTATCTATCTGAGTCTCTTCTTATCTATCTATCTATCTATCTATCTATCTATCTATCTATCTATCCTCAGCCTGTTCATTATCTGAGTCACTTCTTATCTATCTATCTATCTATCCTCATCCTGTTCATTATCTATCTGAGTCCTTATCTATCTATCTATCCTCGGCCTGTTCATTATCTATCTATCTGAGTCACTTCTTATCTATCTATCTATCTATCTATTCTCAGCCTGTTCATTATCTATCTATCTGAGTCACTTCTTATCTATCTATCTATCTATCTATCCTCAGCCTGTTCATTATCTATCTGAGTCACTTCTTATCTATCTATCTATCTATCTATCCTCAGCCTGTTCATTATCTATCTATCTGAGTCACTTCTTATCTATCTATCTATCTATCTATCTATCTATCCTCATCCTGTTCATTATCTGAGTCACTTTTTATCTATCTATCTATCTATGTATCTCCGTCTCTTCATATGTATGTATCTATCTCAGTCTCTTCATACGTGTCTATCTATCTCAGTGTCTTCGTACATGTCTATCTATCTATCTATCTATCTCAGTCTATGTCTGTCAATCTATCACAATAATTCATTGCCTACAATGGCACATTTTTTTTAACTCTACAAAAAATAGAAAAGTGTGTAAGACAATTTTTGTTTCACCTTTTGGAAGTGATGTCTGATGATCCAGTGTCCTTTAAAAGGTCTCTGGTGAAATAAACTATTACAATGGAGCCTTAAAGTGGTCTGTTTTTCTTTAAAATATAAAATATAAAATATATATTTCCTTAATTTTTAAAAAATTTTTTATATGAAAAGTTTTTATTTTTCTTTCTTTTTTATTATTAAAATTTTTTCCTTTTTTTTCTCTCCTTTCCCTATTTTTTTTCTCGGTCTTTTTTCCCTTTCTCCTTTTTATCCTGATATATCTGTCTGGATGGATTGATTCCATTTCCCAAAAACTTTTGGTCTGAAGAGATGAATATAACAATATTCATGAAATAAATTATAACCGATAGGGATTTTTAAGGCGTTTCTTGATTTATCATATATTTTCACGCTATTTGCAATCATCAGACAAAGTGAGTAATTTGTAAATTTTGGATTTATATATGGTTGTGTATATCGGTGTTTATATGGAGATGGGAAGAAAAATTGTCGTCGGGACACCAACCACACTTACGCAAACATACATACATGCATGTACACTCATCAACATATGCAGACACACTCACACAAACATAAGTACCATGCATATATAATATATAAATGATATATATAAAAATTGCATATATATATATATATATATATATATATATATATATATATATTTATATACATGCACATTTCACACACATATATATATATATATATATATACTAGCAGTAGAGCCCGGCGTTGCCCGGGGATGTAACAGTAAGAGATAGATCAAGTATTGGCCATCATAAAGACTGAACAATAAAATTGACAAAGATTATTTTTTAAGGTTGACGGACAAGCATGTCTTAATTAGTTTTTTTTTTTTGTTTTGTTTTGTTTTTTTTACGAATTGGTCAAACCCAAACTCAAACAAAAACATTGTTTTCAATCGTTATGAGACTACTGATTGAATAGAATTTTATTATAAACAATTGTCTTGTAAATGGAATTTTTAAAGCATTCTGAATGTAAAAATAAAGAAAAAAGTGTGCAAGACAATAAGAAACACTACCTGCCAAAAAAAAGGTGAAATTTTGTTGAAATCAGTTGAAAAATGTAGGAAATCCGATCCCATATATAAATGAACACACACACTCACATACAAACAACCTGGGTTTTATAATAAGTATAACTCGATATGGGTTGTCCCCCTTTCATTCTGCGAAAGCGATGCCTCTTAATCGTGTTTTCAAATTGATTTCATGCAAAAACAATTGTGTTTTTCCAATTTTTGGCGCTGTCAGAACCATCGCAAGGTAATTTTACATAGTCCTGTGAAGTATTGTTGAAATCAGTTGAAAAATGTAGGAAATCCGATCCAATATATAAATGTACAGACACACACACACACAACCCGGGTTTTATAATAAGTATGATTATGAAATGAACAAAGTCCAACAATTATTTGAAGACATTTTCATGTTTATATATTCTTTTTATAGATACAAATATTTAAGTAAATGCTCTGTTTTATAATAAACAGTATTAAATAAAATTCTAAAATCTTCCATGATTCTCTCATGTACATTCATGTCTGCTCATGGCATATCCAAATGTAAACAAATGATGTCACACATTATGAAATGGACAAAGAAGATTTTAGTTTAAAAGCAGTAAAATCTACCTTGCTAATCGAATGATCCTCTGTGGCCCAATCGGTTAAAGGCACGTCAGGCTATATGACGGTTCCGTATAGGATACAGGTCTGATTTCTTTTGGAGGATGAATATTTTCTATGAAAATTTCTTGGACATTCAGGCTGGTAAATGTTATTTAATACTGTTTATTATAAACAGAGCATTTACTTAAATATTTGTATCTATAAAAAGAATGTATAAACATAAAAATGTCTTAAAATATATATAAATTTATTTTGTTTAAGCATTATTTTTGATGGATATTCATATTTGAGTAGAGATTCTGTTTTTTAATTTTAATTTATATGACCCTGCAGTGAAGAAGGACACTAAGAGAACAAAATTTTGATGTTCTCTTCTAGAAAGAGAAATCAAAACATTCTAGGATATTAGCAAATGAAAATGAATGCAGCAACATTCAAAAGTACTTGGAAAAAATAAAATAAAATAAAAATGAATTTTGGTAAATTTGCCAATTATATAAAACTAATTTGGAAATTTGTAAAATTAATAAAAAAAGAAAAAAAATATATTTAAATATATATATATGCTTTTAGCATCTTGATTTAAGTGCTAACAAGAATGGTGAAAGACTGAGTTAAAATACATTTTCAAAATAGAACCATATATTGTAGGATTAAACAGGAATTTATGATTACTCAGAGAATACAGTTTCTACAGAAACTCTTCAACAAACTCTCCACAACCCTAACTGTGGCAAACTGCAAGGCCAAAATTATCAAATTTCTTGTAGTAAAACAATGCATAGGTGACCCCACCAAAAAAATAACACAAATACCTCCCCGCACCAGAAACGGGTCCCACTTTATTGTTTATTTCTTGTCTTGGTAAAGGACACAGTTATGTTAAAAAATTCCACCTTTAAAATCTTTCTCTTCATGCTTCGGTTTAGTCTAAAGGCCTACAAATATAAAATAAATCAGTCTTTATTCCTCGAATTTCATTAATTGGCACATTAAATCTCTCTCTCTCATATATATATATATATATATATATACACACACACAGCGAAACAGTCTGTCTGTGGATGACTATATATATATGTTCCCAGACATCCAGTTGAGCTCTCTAGGGAAAGGAGGTTTTAAAAAAAAACAAAAAATAAAACAGCGGCTCTTACTGCTATTAAACATTACTCTTCAAGTAAATTGAATTGAGTTCTCCGAGCCACTGGCATATTTTGTATAGAGAAAAACGTTAAAATTCCCTTCCTTTCTGCCATGCGACGATGGCCTGAAGGTTTCAATCCTGGAATTGAAACAATCGAACGTCTACCAACACTAAGGAGCAGTGATACAGTGAAATAATCTGTCTGTATGTGGATGACTATATATATATATATATATATATATATATATATATATATATATATACATAGTCATCCACAGACAGACTGTTTCACTCAGTGTGGCTAGATGTTCGATTGCTTCAAGCTGGGATTGAAACCCGACTGATCTGGCATCAGTTGGAGATCCTACTCCTAAGCTATCAGTGCATGGCAAAGAAATGGAAATTCTAATATGTTATATAAGAGATGTATACAAACGCCAGTAGCTAGAGTGCTCAATTCATTAATGAAGAGCAGAAGAAATACCACAAATGATGTTTACAATTCAATTTTTTATGTCAAGAATGCAGAAGATACAGGAATGTTTGAGGCAAAAATGTATTGAATGTGCACTAATTTCTGAATTATCTACAGTAAATTTATGTTCAAGATCATATAACATATCTCTTTCCTGACAAAACTATTGCTATGACAATGTGGGATATTTAAAAACAATATCAATAGAAAGTTAAATGAGGTCAACTAGCTTAACAATCTAACACAACAGATTCCAAAAATTTTAAAAAAGGTTAAATTTAAAGCTAAGCATTCCTGGCTCTTCAGCATTCTTGATGTAAAATTGTAACCAGCATTTGTTGAATTTCTTTCTTTCTCTATGTATATCCTACTTCTGGAACCAGCATTTTAATCTATTAGGATTATTATTATTATTATCTATATAATACTAAAAGTCTTTGATTGCATGCCTGTGTGCATGCCTGTTTGGTGCACTCATCCACCCGTCCGTCCGTCTGGCGCATAATGATTAAAGTGAATCTGATTTAAATGAATAAGATTTAAAAATACGAGTTGTTTATACAGTAAGTATTTTTACTTTTCACTTTCTTCAAACAGACAAATTTTTAATTAAAATATTTTAAAGTTAAAGACAGACACAAAGAGATCCCGCTTTGCTGTTTTGTTCAGTTGTTTGTAAAGTAATTATTTATATTTCAGATTTCTTTAAACAAACAATATTCTAAATATATAAAAACTTTTTTTTGGCAATTTCAAAAAATATTTTGAAGTGAATATGATTTTAAAATATTTTTTGGCATATTAAAACAATATTTTTAAGTTAATCTGATTTAAAGTTGAGGTTTATCTCTATTCCTATTAAATGCTGTAAACAATCAGTAAAATGTTAAACATGGACTTGTAAACTAGACCAATGATGACACAAATGAATTGAAATATTTAACTGAATTATAATAAAATTAACTTCATTTCAATGGTATGTTGAAATCAACTTCAATGTTTAATAACCTGAACCGTCAGTGATCCCACAGGTCACGAGTAGTCTAGTTATTATTATTTCAAAATATTTTTATGACAACAATAATGTAAACGATGGCTAACATGTTGTAAAATGAACCAATCAAATCCAGTGTTGGGAGTCTCTGGCATGTGGGTAAATATTAACCTTTATTACAAGATATCTTAACTTCACATATAAGATTATGCTGATCTTTTAAAGATATTTCTTTTATTAAACTGATGTCTTTTAAGCCATCTAATTTGATGATATCTGAGATAAAGCTTTCTTTTATTTTTGCTACATGCTTGTTTGCTGGATTTTGTCTGGCTCACCCTCCCCCCCCTGTCTTTTGAACAGTAGAAACTTATCCCTTGTTCCCTGTTTAGCATTGAGTTTCTGGTTCCTTCTAATGTCTCTGCTTGAACTCTGAAATGTTATTTACCAAATATTATTTTTTTTCCTTCTCAGTAAGGTTAGATAGGTATGCTTATATTTGGGTTCACATTCTTCTCTTGTCTTTTAAACAGCTGTTGAGGGTTAAACCTTGTTCCCTGTTTTGGATTGGGTTTCTAGTTCCTTCAAAAGTCTTTTCATTCTCTTTCACTCCCCAGTAGCCCCTTACATCTTAGTGGAATTCTTGCTTTGT